CGCCCCAACGCTTCTGATTGGTGCCGCGATTTCGACGGATTGGAAATGGCCTTGAATGAGCTCTTTGCCAGACTAACTTTCAGAGCAAATCTAAATTTGCCGGAAGTTGTCTGGGTTTTCCCAGGCTATAGGGAACCCGAAGGAGCCCCAGCCAATCACTATTCAGGGGAACATACTCACCCGAAATGCCACCAGGAAGGCCTGACCTGGTGTTTTCACTTACATTGGATACATCAGCCTGGCCAACTTCCTAGGCAAACCAGGCTGTAGGCAGGATAAAAAGAGGTTCTAGGAGGGAACCAGTAGCAAAGAATGAATACTTTAGTCGAGCCAGGGCACAAGCTCGCCTTCAGACCAGCTGAACTGATAGCAAGCGGCCACTGGCTGCCCGAACCCAGCACCACTGGGAAACCACTTACAGGGAGGCCTGGTGAGGCCTACTACCTGACAACCACCACATGTGGAAACTTCACCTTCAGGGAGGCCTGGTGAGGCTTACTACCTGATAACCATCATATGTGGGAATTCGCCTTCAGGGAGGCCTGGTGAGGTCTACTACCTGATAGCAAGTCAAGTCACCTTTATTTATATAGCGCTTTTTACAATACAGATTGTATCAAAGCAGCTTCACGGTGATAACATGAAAATAATAATACAACAAAGTTTGTTTCTAGAAGAAAATTGCATCAACGTCCACCTTAAGTAAGGCAGATCAATAATATTGTTGAATATTAAATGTCCCCAACTAAGCAAGCCAAAAGCCAAGGCAACAGTGGCAAGGAACCAAAACTCCATCAGGGACAGAATGGAGAATAAAACCTTGGGAGAAACCAGACTCAGTCGGGAGGCCAGTTCTCCTCTGGCCAACGGAGGAACAGTGTATGATTCGGGCAGCATTACAAGTCAGATTGGATCAGAACATTTAGAGTATTTATCCATTTCCATCTGGTTGGAAGTTGAAGAAATCACGCCGGTATGGAGACGAGTTGTTGAGGATCAGTGTCGATGAGGCCTTCACAGCGCTGATGAGGCCGGCACTTCAGGATGAGTTGGGATGGGTCCAGGCGCAGGTCCACCATAGAGGGTCCCTCGGGATAAACAGAGAGACTAATATTAGCGTAGACGCCATCCTTCTTATGATGTACCAAGTACATCAGGATTTACGGGACGTGTTCCCGGTTCCGGCTGATCTAAACTATGCAGCCTAATTTTGAATTAAGGAAGTCTATAATGTGTTATGTGTATGCTAGGCCAAAGAGATGTGTTTTTAGTCTAGAACACAGTCTAGCAAGGTAAACAACTGGTTGCTATGAACCCTGAATCCGGGTGTCAGTCCCAGGGCAGCCTGCTAAGGCCAGCTCAGTCTCGGAGCGCCCTGTTAAAGCCGGCCTCCTGAGAGTCTTCTTATGTAAGAAACTAGGCCTTATTGAAGGCCTAACCCTAGGTCTTTACTACTCATGCCTCTGCACCAACCTGCATTACTTTTCTCGCCCCCGAATGCAGAGAAGGGGGCATGCCTTGGCCGAACGACTCCCACCATGGGAGGAGGCTGTCATATAGGGATGCTTAAAAAGCCCACATTCACATAGTGAAGGGCCAGAGGCAGAAATGCTTTAGCAGAATGCCTCCAGTATCCCAGTATAGCCTAGGCCAGCTACTACGGGGGCCCTGGTGCGGGCCAGCCTGTAAGCATAGATCTACCTGAGGGCTCGAGAGACAGAGATGTCTCATATGAGCGCTGCAAAAAAACCGCTCAGCCTGTATGAAAATCCAAACAGAGCTCAGGGGAGCGATGTACTCAGGACCAAACAACGTCAGGCGGCCCCGTGGGCTGGACATAAGATCTACCTGAAGCTCCAGCGTCAGTCTACACTCCAAAACTTTATTATTATTATTATTTTTTTTGTCTGGGTTTACACCCCTCTCAAGGCGATCCAAGGTCCTTCTGGGAACCCCATGCTGCAAGTCCGTGCTCTGCCTGGACCCGAACCACGAGGTCCAGATGCTGAGCGCTCCTCACTCGAGAAGAGTGAGAGCGTTCTCAAAGAAAAACACTGGTGCGTGCTCTCCAACAGGTCGTGTGTGTCACCCGCCGTCAAATATCTAGGGCACGGGTCAGCACACTTCTGAAAACAATCAGCCTTCCCCGTGCGTTTCATTTTTAAATTTCTCTTACCGTAATCCTTCAGCGTTTACAAACAGAACAGTCCCTGAAGACGAAAAGATGAATGTCATGTTTGCAAGGCGCCCCTTTTATACTTCCGGGTCGCACGATGATGACATCATAGGCGTTGTCGCAGGTCAATAGGATTGCCGTGATTCGATAGCAGTTTCAGACACCTGTCACGCCTGAGGCGTTCCCTAATGCGTTTCGGCGCAGTGCGAGTTCCCTTTCGAAAGGGAAGCAGCGTCTCCATTAGTCTGATTCCTGAGGAGCTGTCAGTCCCACTCACACACACACACACACACACACACTGCTGTCAGTCCCACGCCAGCTCAGAGTCCTCATCTCAAATCAAATCATACGCGATCAATGCAACATTAAAGAGAGAGAGAGATACGGGAAAAGCATTCTAATGACTTCCAATATGCCACTGCGAGAGGAAAAAATGCTTTAATTAAAATAGATTTGCGTGTTTTGATATAAAAATTCATTCCTAGAGCTTTTGTCTTTCCTCCATTACCGGCACAATGGAGTCATCCAGCTGATATCGAGCGCTGGTCACATTTACAGCCTTTTACCGTAATGTGAGCGATAACCGGGCCGGTGAGTGGAGGAACGTGTCCTCCGAGGACTGGGGATTCTTCATTCTTTACTCTCTAATAAAGTGGTCGTCCACCATTTCGCCGGTTTTGCTTTACATTCATCTTCTCTATTCTTTCAAACATTCCTCAATAAAGAGCTCAAACCAACCAGAACCAGATTACAAGCTTTAATCCAATGGGTGAATGAATGCAGCATCGCACGAAGCACTGAGAATGAAGTCAAGCAATCAAATGCCATACAAGTCAATCATTACATGTATAAAAAATTTACTTTGAAACAAATATCTGCCAATGGAGTCTTAAACTTAATTAAAAAGGAAAACAAGATTATTTTCTGACTCCATTGCAGATATTTGTTCTTGTTTTAAGCAAAAACTCTGATACGGTTTTTTCTTAATATCTTCAGTCATTTTGCTTCTTCTCCAGTAAAAGCATCTTGATTTAAGAATGTTTAAATTTGTGCTGTAAAACAAGACAGTAAAATATCGTATGCACCATTTAATGCCATGACTATGAATTTAAGACTTTCTGGTCCAAAATGAAACCTTTTTCAAGGCCTATTTCTGTCTTGTTTTCCAGATATCAAGAAATCAAGAGACATTTACTGGAGAAGAAGCAAAATGACTGAAGATATTAAGTCTGGAAAATGTATCAAAATGAATTGAGTTTGTGCTTAAAACAAGATCAAATATATGCCAATTTTGTTTTTAATATTTCCCCAGCCCTTGGGTTGTTTTTAACGCAGTGTTTTTTAGAGTGACAACCACATAGTGTCAAGGTTTGCCAATGTATGTATAATGATATAATGTATGAAGTAAAATAATAATAAAAAGCTAGTTCTATAGTAAAAAATAAATCAACCCATTATGTTGGGTTAAATAAACAACCCAATTTGCTGGGTAAAATTAACCCAACATGTGTTATGTCCTGTATTTACCCAGTCATTGGGTTGTTTTTCACAGTGTTTTTTAAAGTGTGACAACCACATAGTGGCAAGCACCACTCACATTTCCTTCAAAAAAATGTCCAACAATCCCAATGAATGACCGGCCAGAAAGACCAATACAAGCAAAAAAGTTTGATATAATGATATAATGTATGAAGTAACATAATAATAAAAAGCTAGTTCTATAGTAAAAATAAACCAACCCATTATGCTGGGTTAAATAAACAACCCAATTTGCTGGGTAAAATTAACCCAACATGTGTTCTGTCCTATATTTACCCAGTCATTTGGGTTGTTTTTAACCCAGTGTTTTTTAAATACATAGTGGTGAGTTTCACCAAGGTAAGCACCACTCACATTTCCTTCAAAAACATGTCAAAATCCCAATGAATGACCGGCCAGAAAGACAAAAACCATCATCCATGTGGTGTGTGTGTGTGTGTGTGTGTCTCTGTGTGTGTCTCTGTGTGTGTGTGTGTGTGTGTGTGTGTGTCTCTGTGTGTGTGTGTGTGTCTCTGTGTGTGTCTCTGTGTGTGTGTGTGTGTGTGTGTCTCTGTGTGTGTGTGTGTGTGTGTGTGTGTGTCTCTGTGTGTGTGTGTGTGTGTGTGTGTGTGTGTGTGTGTGTGTGTGTGTCTCTGTGTGTGTCTCTGTGTGTGTGTGTGTGTGTGTGTCTCTGTGTGTGTCTCTGTGTGTGTCTCTGTGTGTGTGTGTGTGTCCCTCTGTGTGTGTCTCTGTGTGTGTCTCTGTGTGTGTGTGTGTGTGTGTGTGTGTGTGTGTGTCTCTGTGTGTGTCTCTGTGTGTGTCTCTGTGTGTGTGTGTGTGTGTCCCTCTGTGTGTGTCTCTGTGTGAGTGTGTGTGTCTCTCTGTGTGTGTCTCTGTGTGTGTGTGTGTGTGTGTGTGTGTGTCTCTGTGCGTGCGCACGTGTGTGTGTGTGTGTCTCTGTGTGTGTGTGTCTGTGTGAGTGTGTGTGTGTGTGTGTGTGTGTCTCTGTGCGTGCGCACGTGTGTGTGTGTCTCTGTGTGTGTGTCTCTGTGTGAGTGTGTGTGTGTGTGTGTCTCTGTGCGTGCGCACGTGTGTGTGTGTGTCTCTATGTGTGTGTCTTTGTGTGAGTGTGTGTGTGTGTGTGTGTGTCTCTGTGCGTGCGCACGTGTGTGTGTGTCTCTCTGTGTGTGTGTGTGTCTGTGTGTGTGTGTGTCTCTGTGTGTCTCTCTGTGTCTCTCTGTGTGTGTGTGTGTGTGTGTGTCTGTGTGTCTGTGTGTGTGTGTCTCTGTGTGTGTGTGTGTCTCACCGGGTGGCATCCACGGGTCCAGCGAAGGCTTCTCACTGGTGTCGATCTGTTCCCAGTCGAGGTCATCGTCTCGTCCTTGAGTGTATCCACACGAAGAGAAGGGTTTCTCGAAGTCACAATCACCTGCAACAGAACGAGCGACATTCACATCGTCAGCGCGTTTCTTTCCCGGCCTGGAAATGAACGAATGCATCCATTACGCTTCTTTCCATCCGCTCGTAATGCAATCTGCCAAACAACAGGAGCGCTTAAACCGAGATGGAGAGGGATTCCAGCCACAACATATATTACCATCATTAGCCGCGCGCGAGCCAATTCCACAATGACAGAAATGAAGTGTCCAAACTCTATCATCGTTAAACGCTCGGCGCCGAGCATAAATCTGATTCATTTCGCAGTGGCGTGCGACCAGACTTCCCCTTCAAATCATCCGGCCTTCGTTCTCATTCATCCTCATAATCCTGACGGGACACGCGGCCCAAAGAGGAACAGGCGCTCTTAATTCCTGCAATGAACAGGTGAGCATGTGGAAAAGGGATTCAAATGTGTCCTTTATAGGGGTTTTGTGGCTCTTTGACTGTCAAACATGATTTGTTGTGGTTGCATCGCGACTAATCGATGAAACAACAAATCTGTTTACACACTTCACCTTTAACAGTCTGAACATGTCACATCATAATGTGCAAAACATGCTTTTCTTACTTAGTATTTCTGTCTTGTTTCCAGTCGAAATATCTAAAAATTCTTAAATCAAGATGCGTTAAGCAGTAAAATGCCATAAAATGTTAGTTCTTGTTTTCTGGGGAAATGTGTCAAAATGAAGTGAGTCGTTGCTTAAAACAAGCTACATTTTCTGCCAATTGGATAAGAAAAATAATCTTGTTTTGATTATTGATTATTTTTCTTATCCCATTGACAGATAATTTTGCTCTTTTTAAGCAACGACTCACTTCATTTCCTCTGAAAACAAGACATAATATATGGCATTTTACTCATAAATGCATCTTGATTTAAGATTTTCTTTATATTTGGACTGGAAACAAGACAGAAATACCAAGTATTTTTTGGAGTCTCAATGTCAGTGTTAAATGTATTTATACAGCACCATTAAAAAAAACAGAAATTGACCAAAAGTGCTTCATGAAAATAAACATAGAGCTCTAAAATATAATATGGATATTTCACTATAAACTCAAGCCTGCAGTTTAAATGAAGGACGACGAGGTGCGAGTGAGCGAGATGTTCAAGGCTGTGGGAAAACACAAACGAACTGCATGGAAACAATTATCGCCACATTTTTAGTCAAGCCACTTACAAGTAATCGATGAAACATTAACAAATCTGTTCACCTTTAACGCTCTAGAAAGGTCTGAACAACATAAACTGACCAATAAACACAAAAATGCTCATGAATTTATAATGGATGGATATTCCTCTGATGTTTGACTGCAAAAAGGGATTCAAATATGTCATTTATAGGGTTTTTGTGGCTGATTTTAAACACGATTCATGACTCAAGCGTGAGTTTTACAACTAATCGATGAAACATTAACAAAAGTGCTTTATAACAATAAACACAGAACTCTAAAAAATATGGATATTCAGATATTCTGCTTTCACTGTAAATTCAGGCCTGAAATTTAAATAAGTTTGTTTGCATCACCGACTCAAGCGACTAATCGATGAAACATTGAGAAATCTTAACCTTTAACGGTCTAAAAATGTCAAAAAATTGACCAAAGTGCTTTCCAACAATAAACACAGAGCTCTATAAATTAAAAATGCCCGTGAATTAATAATCCTCTCTTTCACTGTAAACTCAGTCCTGAAGTTTGACTGCAAAAAGGGATTCAAATGTGTCATTTATAGGGTTTTTGTGTCTCTTTGACTGTCAAACATGATTTGTTTGGTTGAATCACCGACTCAAGCGATGAAATATGAACAAACGTGCTTTATAATTTTACATATACACATTCTAATACAGATATCCCCTGTTTCTCTGATCCCTGGAGCTCCAGCCTGACCTGAGCGACTGACTGCTGGAAACGGCGAGATGTTCACGGCTGTGATTGTGGGAAGGCAGAAACGAACAGGTGCATGGACACGATTAATGCCGGAGCGGCGAGGTGAGATTTATCCTGCCGGATCGCCCTGAGTGCGTCTGAACGGCCCGACGCCAGGACAGGAGTTCTGTGCACTCCCGAGTAAATGGAAAATAATGGTCAAATAAATGAATATTTCAGTGTGTGGCAGCGCTTGCAAACTCATTGTAAATCAACATAGGTGCTGCTACACACACACACACACACACACACACACACACACACACCTTCCTCTGCGCACAAATGCACAATAATGCTTGCATAAACAGGAAAAACATTAGAGCACCTTTTACATGCCAGATCTGATCAATCACTCTTGGAGCATGATGACTGAGGCGCTAGTGTGTGTGTGTGTGTGTGTGTGTGTGCGTTTACAACCCTTTTACTTCCAAAATGTGATGTATTCCTGAATTTATGTAACAATATGCATTAAGATATATACTACGTGTGTGTGTGTGTGTGTGTGTGTGTGTGTGTGTGTGTGTGTGTGTGTGTGTGTGTGTGTGTGTGTGTGTGTGTGTGTGAGAAAGAGAGAGAGAGAGAGAGAGAGAGAGAGAGAGAGAGAGAGAGAGAGAGAGAGAGAGAGAGAGATGTGTGTGCGTGTGTGTGTGTGTGTGAGAGAGAGAGAGAGAGAGAGAGAGAGAGAGAGACAGTGTGTGTGTGTGTGTGTGTGTGTGTGTGGGAGAGACAGAGAGAGAGAGAGAGAGAGACAGAGAGTGTGTGTGCATGTGTGAGAGAGAGAGAGAGAGAGAGAGTGTGTAATTACCTGCTGATATATTTACACGTCAGTGTCTGATTCAGTCCTCAAGCTGTTAGCGTGTGATGTGTGTGTGTGTGTGTGTGTGTGTGTGTGAGAGAGAGAGACAGAGTGTGTGTGTGTGTGTGTGTGTGTGTGTGTGTGTGTGTGTGTGTGTGTGAGAGAGAGAGAGAGAGTGTGTGTAATTACCTGCTGATATATTTACACGTCAGTGTCTGATTCAGTCCTCAAGCTGTTAGCGTGTGATGTGTGTGTGTGTGTGTGTGTGTGTCGACTCTCCATGACTCAGGCCTGTTTTAGCGCCCAGCGCTTCACTGATGACAGATATACTCTATTGTCTTCCTCCAAACTCATGCAGTAACTGTTATCTGATGATATATTCAGGCTTTTGTCCGCTTACACGAGTGAGAGGACAGGAGATTTAGTGAGCGCTGAAAGGAGAGAAACAGCGGCAGAGGAGAACAAGCTCATCTTCTATTCTCTCGGCGCTGTCAGGAGACAATGGAGTCGCCGCTCAGACAGACAGCCTTGGAAGTGTGTGTCTGACAGTATTTCATGAACTCAAGAACATACAGTGAAGAAAAGCAGAGCCGTATTCACTGTTCCTGCACTGTCAGTCACAGATTACAGCGGTGTGTTTGTTTTTATTACGATGAACTGGAATAAACGAAACATCAAAAATATAGCAATGTGTTTGAAAAAAAATATAGCATTTAACGATAAAATTCAAAATGGCCGATATGGGAAAATTGGGTATCGTTCGACTCGGCATCCAGTTTTGTGATTTTTGGCCAAACCGTACAGACGTTATAAGCAAAAAGAGAACATTTTCATATCTCCTGACCACAAAGTCACGATAAGAAGTCACGATAACATGGCTGGGAGCTTCAGACAGACTGCAACAATGAGCAATTAAAGACATATTAAGATTATTTCAGGCAAAATAGCTGAAAAATCACAAATACAGTCACTAGTAATATGATTTAATGGTTTATCACTTTTGACCAATAGGTGGCGCTGTGACCAAATTCATGAGGTGTGGTCAGAGACAGGTGACAATGACACATGCAAAGATTGGTGTCAATCTGCCAAAGCATTGCAGAGATACTGTCGTTTTAGCATCATGCCTCAACTTTATTGATACTGTATACGAAAGCACATACAGTACCATGGAAACGAAATCCATAACTCTTTGTCGGCATGGTCTGAAGATATGTTTCAATTTTGGTGAAAATCATACCAAGGGTCTAGGAGGAGTTCGAAAAAACACGTTTAGACCAGTTTTTGTGATTTTTGGTCAAACCGTTCAGAAGTTATAAGCAAAAAGAGTAATTTTTCATTTCTCCTGACCACTAGGTGGCGCTGCGCCGAAACTGTGCAGGTTCCCTCTGGTCATGGTTGTCATAACACACACCAAATTTGCTCAAATTTGCTCAAATTTGAAAATTGGACCAACGGTCTAGGAGTTTGAAAAGTATGTTTTTGAAGAAAATCAAAATGGCAGAGAGGAAGTTCGTCCGACTATTGGAAGATGGATATCTATGTTCTCGGCATGACCAAAGCAACCTATTAAGACCAGTTTCATTACAATAGTCTAATTTATTCAAAAGTTATAAGCATTTTTGGAAAGTCCATTATAACTTTTGACCACAAGATCGCACTACCCCTAAACCTTTTTGAGTACCTTCAGTGCATGTTCCCAAAAACACATACCGAGTTTCGTAACGATACGCCAATGTGTTTGTAAAATATAGCATTTAACGATAAAATTCAAAATGGACGATATGGGAAAATTGAGTATCGTTCGAATCTAAAGAGACCAGTTTTTTTCAAATTTTCATATCTCCTAACCACTAGGTGGCGCTATGCCGAAACTGTGCAGGTTCCCTCAGCTCATGGTTGTCATAACACACACCAAGTTTGGTCCGAATTCGCTAAAGCGTTGCGGAGATATAGCCCAACGTCCATTTTGTCGTGCTCTTCGTCGAATTCGTTAGCGTGTTATTTGAGAACGGTTTGACAAATCAACTTGAATTCCATACGTGTTTGTCGGCATGATCTAGAGATGATCTGGTTAAATTTTTGTAAAAATCGCGACAGCCTAGGAGTTCGAAAAATTATGTTTTTCTAAAAATACAAAATGGCGGAAAAATCTTGTGTAATCATGTGTTTTAGTCTCGTTTCACTAGGGGCCAAACTCCTGTTGTAATCGTTAGTCGTCTTCTTCTGCTCTTGATCTATGGCTGCCCATAGAACCACTTGCG